GGGGGAAGGGCAAACGGGGGGGGTTGAGAGCATAAGGCCTATTTGACCTTCCTCTTCGTTAAGAAAGTGGCAATTTGTAACAACCTTCCTCAAGACGATTTACTCGTTTTACAAACGTGTGTGTAAGTAGATCATGTTTATCACGGTTTAAAACTCTGTCTCGTTACACAGTTCCCCTTATTGGTATATTTGGCGGTGCTGTTGTTCCGTTGTACAAAGGGATGATGTCCAAGATGGTTGAGCCTGATGAACGAGGTAAGATAATTATGTCTTACTTTAAGGGTGAGGCAGGGTGAGGTCCTGGGGCACATATGGAGTCCTAACCTTTGACGTCACGTTACCATGGCACTAAAAATTCAGGTCTAAACGAAACGGACGTAGCCATTGTTTTGAGGTCAAAAAGACTTAATTAATCCCGCGTTTTGCAACAAGGGAGTTTTGAAGGCTAATAAAGAGTAAAAAGGTCAATTACTTTTTACTCCAGCGAAAAATAATGACTTGTCCTCAGGCCCGCCGATATGTCTGTCTATTTTATTTTCTCTTTGACTGCGGTATCATTCATCTGTTGCTCACTTTTTGATTCTTTAGGTGCCATGTTTTCCTCGGTGGCCACGGTGGATACATTTTGCAACTTTTTGGGCGCATTCATCTTTAATCCGATGTACATCAGATCCTCAAAGTTTGGTTTTAGAGGGTTGCCGTTTCTTGTGGCTGCTGTACTGATCATCATTCCGATGATCTTGACAAAGTAAGTTCAACGATACCGCTTTTCTGTGTTCGGTGCCTTTTTGCTTCGTTTCCGGTTTCATTAGTCACTACAGTTTCATCAGTCACTAGTTAATTAGAAACGCCGGCTTTGAAATATGAGTAATACCACTTCAAGCGCTTTTGACCGGCTGTTGTTAAACAAAAATCAATCTCATCATATCAGCCAATCAGAGAAAAGAAAACTGTGACGCGCGGGAAAACGCACGTGGCTAACACACGACTGGTTTTGGTTTTGTATATGATTGGTTGAGAAAATGGTGCGAGATATTTTTCACCAATCACAGAGCGCAGTGAAATGAACCCAATTTGTAATCCTAGATTTATCTCGACCCTCAATTTCTCTATTACTGGACGAAACCCTGTTTAGATGACTATACCTAACTTTTTTTTAACCAAATTGTATTTTTATTCCCGCTGGATTTAAAACACAATTAATCAAACCATATAATTCCTTCCAGTATTTCTTGATAGTTTCAATTTTTTGTGCAATTTAAAAAAAATGGTTGGGTGGGGATGGTCTCTGACATAATGCCACATGATCTTTTTAATATGAAAGAGATTATAAAAATTATTTAGATATCTTTCAAATTTTGATATAACTTTCATAAATTGCGCATTAACGCTTAAAAAGAATTAAAAGAATTGATAGGAAAAAGTGCGATATCGAAAAATTTACTCTACAGCTTTTAAGGCCTCTAAGATTTCTAAACTTTTCTATAACAGTTAAAGGTCTAAATGCCTTTTTAACCCGCCAGTCAGAAAGTCAAACCCGTACGACTTCCAAGTCCCTCGGAAACATTTGCCAGTTATTTAAAAGTCTTTGGTTTTTTTTTCCATCGGACAGGTTTATAAAGAATCCGGTGTCGTTTAGAAAGATGACAGAAACTTCAACTGGGCCCGAAGTAGATGAAGCAGAGGTAAAACTCGAAGATATACCACTTGACGAAGATGGACCTCAATCAACCGTTCTTTAGAAATTGATGTATTTCCCGAAGACCAACAATTACTTCAAACACGATTCTAAAATTTTTTCCTTGTTGGTGGAAGGACTAAACCCGACAAATCTATGACGCTAGTCATGACGTCATAGCACACGCAATTCTGACTGATTGGATGTTACTTTCGAAGAGGAAGTCGTAACCAATCAACGGCTAATTTGATATCGGCATGACTACGTCATCAGAAGACCGAACCGTGAAATCGTGAAAGAAGACAACTTTTTACTGCAATCCATACACCATGATAACTCTTTAACCCTAGGGAGCGACAATAAAGGAAGGCTCGTGATTTTTGTTCAAATTCTCCACTTCAGCAACATAAGAAGTTTATGTGGAACAGTATGGAGAATATGCTTACTGATGTTGGTGTGTAAAGGGTTAATGTCCATCTCCTTTTCACCCAATAAAGATAAACTGTACTGTTATTCAAGTCAAACAAACACACCTTTTTTTTGATTACCAAAACACACTATTTAATATCTTTAAAAAGGCTATAAATTCTCTATCCCTCACTACAGAGCCAGTTGCATGGCTCAGCTAAAACATACTTAAAAATTTCGGAGAATAAATCACTAAAAATCTAACCACTAAGTTTGGATGTCAAATAGACCGTTATCAAACCATCTTTAACCAAACATCAACTCCTTAAAAAAATTGACCCTCTATACCAAGCTTAAAAAGCCATTTCCCGAATTTTAAGCTGGACAATAACTCTATCTTTTTACATTCCAAATCTTACAGTAAAATTTCGAAAAATTTCTTACCACGCCTTTTTGGGAGGATTTGATTTGAGTTTTTCGGATAAAAGTTAGTCAAGTGCTAGACATGTGAAAAACTGCGCGATTGGGCAATAAAACGAGTTAAAAATTAAAAAAAAAAATTAATCTTTTACCAGTAAAAGCTTGTAGCTACGAAAAATGTAAAATATTGATTATACATGTTCAAAGTCAAATCAGGTATGACATAGGTATAGTGTCCTGATCGCCTTCATGCAAAACCTGAAATAATAAGATCATAGAAACATATGGTTACTACTTACACACATTTGTTGCTTCTACATTATGTCCAACGAATGTATAAAATATGTGATTAACATGCGTATCGACTGACCTGAGAGCTGCTCATTCTACGACGGCGGAGGTACACATGGTGTTCAAACCACAGCTACCATCTCCGCGATAGATCAAGTAGTATCCCTATGGAATAAGTCATGGGGAAATTTACTTTAGCTAAGAGTTACACTACGGTCCCTGTGGCTCATAAGACTTCCGTGTCAAGCATCAAGCTCGAGACAACAGCGAAGCAAATGCGAGTGGTGAGTCACGCGAGGTTGAAGCGGCACGAAAAAAACGGTGTTATTCTTTTTTTGAGTCTCTCCTCACCTTGAAAAATAAAAGAAAAAAGATAAACTTACCTGTTCACCCCAGCTTTCACCCCAACTAGAATGAAAAAAAAGTTACAATAAGTCACACATACTGTAAATTATACACAGTAAAATGAGCCCTGATAAGAGAGTGCTAACGATCAAAGAGTATTCTGTGTTTCAACTCATACAAACACAACATCTAAAAACCTTGACTCTTTCAATCCCAAGAGCGACCAAAAAGAAATTTCTCCTAACAATATTAATACATTTATGAGGAAAAAGGTGATGAGCAGAGAGGAATACATACATTTGGGATACTGTTTGATATGGCAATGATTTCTCAAAAGCCAAAATTAAAAACAATGTAAGGGGCACAGGGCACCGAATTGAACAAAACAGTTAAGACTCGTCAACTTTCATTTTGCGATTGTGTTAGAAGCAAACATTAATTATTGCTTGACTCCTACCTTTAACACGATGTCTCAATGCAGATGAAAGTACAATTTACAAAACCAATTTTAATGGAGTAGATCATTCCATACCTGTTCTTGATGATCCAGTATGGTTCATCCCCCCATAGCCAGCTGTGCTCTAAAAAACGAGAAGTCACATTGTTAAGTACATAGAGTGCAAAAAAGGTGGTCAATTTTGAACTATCTGATTTTATTACCCACATGACACAATAATACCCTTTTACAGTTGTGGGCTTGGTGGCCAAGCCTTTGAACAGGAGTGAGGCTAAGGGTGAGCCTGTTGTGATAGAGACCTGTATGTACTTAGTATGATAACAAAGAAATTTTCATTTGAAAAGCAGCAACATCTCTATCATAACAAGGTCACCCTTTAGCCTCGCTCCTGTTCAAAGGCTTGGCCACCAAGCCCACAACTGTAAAAAGGACTATTTACATCACTGATCCCAACAGTGCGCATAAAATGCTTGCAATATAATGTATATTTGAAGCTACATGTATGCAAGTCCTGGCTCACCATCAGATTCTCTGTAGCTCAGTGGAAGTGCACCAGAGCTCGAAATATGATGGTCTGGGCTCTGGTTCCCATTATCATGACAATAACAAAAGTACTTCTTTATTTAATATTCACTTCAAAGTCCTCAAGGGTAATGCATTCCGCCTACACAGCATTAAATGTAACACATCCTAAGGTATACCTGCCTCGATTGGGATCGCCACCTTGTCGTGGTGGGGCGGCTTGCTTTCCCCAGTGACCCCTAGAGCTATGTTGGCTGGAGTCTTGCACTCCTAGCAGGGACACCCATGCCAAACAGGTCGAAGGGTAGGGGCCAGACAAACAGTGATCCCACTGGCCCTCCAGGGTGGGGGTTGGGCAAAGGGCTGATAACCCTCTCCCGTAAAAAAAGAATTATTACAGAAACCAGAAGGCCCTATGTGCCACAAGGCATGAAAAGGATTGATGATGATGATGATGATCCTAAAGTATTCAATTAAACCTTCAACAATACTCCTGAGAAATTCACTTATAGCCTGCAAATACAGTGTGATTTTGGTGAGTGAGTGCTCACTATTATCTCGGTTAAAATTATAGCAGCCATTTTTTAATTTTACCGCAGTGCAAGGCAGGGGAGAAAAAAATTGTACCAGAGGTGACTGACAATCGGAATGAAGGAGAGGAAAGGGGTGGGGCAGTGTCATCTATTTTCACCCACTCCCCTCCCCAAAATGTCCATTCCTGCTCTAACTCAAACATGGCTGGTTGCATGAACGATTGCAAGCCTGTAACATCAACCCTCCCTAAAGAGACACCTGCACTGCAATCTACACCTCACCTATCTCACTTGTTAGAAAGCAAGGAAACAAAAGAAACAGATACTTACTGACACCATAGCCCACAATCAGCACACCGTGGTCCAGAGAAGCAGGGTTACAAAACATCTTCCATGGGTGAGCAACTCCCCCCAAGTAAAACTAACAAATGATAAGACAACACAGTAAATAAGCTTTCACTTCTAGACAAAGGCACCACAAATATATTATAGAGCAAAGCCATCTTTATGATGGCCCACTAAGAGGACAGCTGCTTCTGAAAGGGGGCGGGAGGAGGAAAGTCCAAGAGGCCCCTCCCTACCACTTTATCCCCAAAAGTGACAAGATCTTTGATTTTAGGTACTCTCAAAAGCCTAGATGTGTAACAAATGGTATGTGCTGGATACACAAATCATGCTACAACTGCACAACATTTAGTAACTAATCTGCCTAGATCAATTTGAAGTTTCAACATCCCCCC